GCTTCATCGGGCTTCTGAAATCAAAGCAGCTTTGAAAGCTCAACCTGAGTTCATCACACCTTTAGCAGGAAAGATTATGAAAGCAAGATCAGGTCTTGCAGCGGTGAAGCTGTTGAACTTGGATTGCCATCCATATGCCCAGAACGGACAGCATTGCAGGGATCCAACGTACACAAAAATCGTGTACCATGCCGATTCCCACGTAAAGTACTGCATGTCCCAGCCACAACTGTTCATGGACAAGCCTCCGCCAGGTGAGCAACACCTACCTCTTGCCATGCAGAGCCATGAAAAACATTTGAAACACGAACTTGCCAAGAAACATGCTGTGGCCAAGTTTCAGGAAGTTTCTGCCCAAAACACATTCTTTTCGATGCCTGTGTCAAGTGGGGCCTTGAAGGTGCTCAAGGCACTTCTGGTTCCACGTCATCGCACCGGTTTTGCTCCAGAGAATGCCTTGACTCAGGGTCCTGCAGCTTTGGCTTTGGATGGTGATGTTGATTTCAGCCAGCAGTTTTGTTTGACCCAGCTGGATTCAGGGCCAACTGTTCCTGACAAGTTGAAGCAACTTGTTTTTTGGAAGTTGATGGACACAAGAAGTGCCGCCCGAGCACGAAGAGAAAAGGTAGAGGGTGAGTACAGTCTGACTGGATGTTTAGCTGTCACTGCTCATTCAGTTTTGCACTTGCACCCAGAAGCGCGTGAGCTCACAGTCTCTTTGGCGCCCATGAACCTGACAGCAGCCTCTTGTGACCAGGTGCCTTTGGTGTTCAACCCAATGAACATGACGTTGGAAGATTTGGAAAATGTCCGGGTGTGGAGCCAAACGAAGGAACCAATAGTTTATACGTTCAAATTCCAGTATTTGCACCAGCTGCCAAAGGAAACCCTGACACAGGTTCCAGTGCTGTTGCAAAAGCTGATGGACAGGCCACATGGCATACACCTAGGCAAGCCTTCGCAGTCAATGGCTGCACTCGTGGCATGTCTGTGCAAAGATGGGTTGATAGAGGACACGGAGCTCACATCAAGTGCTGGCACCAGTTTCACTTTGAAGAAACTGTCTGAGAAAGGTGTCGAACTTGTGGAGCCTTGTGTTGTCCTGGGCCAGTCCCACAAGTTGTGCCAGCGAGTTCACGATGCTGATCCACTGACAAAGTCAACCTATGAGGTTCTATTGGATTTGGAGGCCTCAGGCTTCAAATTGAAAGCGCTGTCCAAGAAAGAGGTTGGCAAGAAAAAGAAAAACCCTTTCACTCTTGGTGCCCCTCCTGAGTTTTTCAGCAAAGAGGGCACCCCCACGATTTCCCATTTCTACTTGGTGTGTCTGCTCTTAGCTGAAAAACATGGCCAACCGGTCCCACATTTTCAACATGACAAGGTCTACAAACAACTGCTTGGTTTGTGTGACGATGGCACGGAAAACAAGAGAACCCGCAAACCCAAGCAGCTTTGCATTATTGGGGAACACTTTTGCCCTGAGTCACTTGTGCCTGACATACCTGCCCAAAGAAAGCCAAAGAAGCAAAAGACAGACCTGGCGACCGTGGATCTATGGGAAAAAGATGAAACGATGACTCAAGTCACAGCAGCTTCTGACAATGATGATGAGGAGGTTGCGTCACCGATGTTGCCCATCTCTAGTTCTAGCACCAGCTCCAGTGCAACCTCTTCCTCTTCATCCTCTGACAGCTCCACTTCTGATTCCGACAGTTCCTCTGCAGAAGCGGAACGTGAGCAAGGAGGTCCAGACGTTGATGGAAAAGGAGAGCCTCCAGACGTTGTAGAGCCTCCAGCTCACAGTGAAGAGACACAGCCATCAAAGGCCAAGACTCCTGTGAGTAAAGCAAAAGCAAAGGGTCTAACAGATGGCAAGGATTTGGGCTCAGGGCCACGAACACGTGGCAGGTTTCAAGCGGAGCCATGGGGTGTGTACAAAGTGACTTTCTTTGACAGGAAGGGCTCCACTGGTTTTCAGATGCTGTGCACAAATCCAAAGCACAATCCTGCAGGGCAGTCATTGTGCACCAAGTCCCGAAGCGACCGATTCGACGGAGGTGCAGACATGTCCCTTCGAATGTTGAAACAGTGGGCTGTGCAGGGCCAGACTGTGAACTCAAAGGCTGAACACCAGAGTCTTTGGGGTTCCGTTTTGCAAGACTACAATAGTAAATGTGTATGGGAAGAAGAGCAACTTGAAGCCTCCAAGATTGAATCTTGGGAATCTCACGCAAGTTCAAGTGCAGCTCCGTCTTCTTCAGCGCGCTCTTCAAAACGTAAGCTGCGTGACTGACTAGGTGTGGATGGCGCAACTTAGTGCGCAAAAAAGGACACAGTTAGGTCAACGCAGTCCGGAATGAATTTTTCTTGTCGTTTTTACGTTTTCAGGTCTGTTTAGATCAGTGAAAGAAAAATGTCACCGGAATTGCTTGCCGGGAGGTGCCTCGAAACTGCCTCGAAATTGCCTCGAAACGTTGGCCTCGACCTATTTTCCTTAGGTGGTTTTCCATCTGTGACAGACCAAAACCTTTCAGTTTTTAGTTGCCTGCCAGACGTGCAAGGAATGGGTAATTTGATAGTCGGTGTGTGGCCTTGAGCTCATGTCTTGTGTTTTCCATCGTTTTCTTCCGCCGGAAGTGTGCCTCGAAACTGCCTCGAAACTGCCTCGAAACGTGCCCCTTTTTGCTTAGGTTCCTTATCATTTCTCCTAGACCATGGTGCCTTTTTGCAAATCGCTTCGATCTTGATTGTTTTCTTTGTCCAGTGTCAAAACGCTTCCTGGCCAAGGGTTCAAGCCACAGAGCCACAGAGCGCCACCAAGCGCCACTGAGCTTTTGAAGGAATGGATGATGACGGCTCCTTGTTCTGTGAGGCGCCAACAGATCTCAGTCCACCACATCCAAAAAGACAGAGGCTCACAAGGAAAGGCGGTATTGAGTTCAGGGCTCGGTCAACTCACCTCCCAATGGGCCCAACCACCTTTGAGGAGTTGATGCAGTGGCCACAATTCGTGTTGAAAGAAGTGCTTTCAGATCCACAAAGGAAAGACAGATTGTGGGCTGTTTTGAATAGAGGGCTTTCAGTGACATCAGCGTACAGTGGCATGGACGCTCCACGTGAGGCATTGGAGCAGCTGGCTCAGAGTCTGCGGGTTGATTATCTCAATTGGCCACAGATTCGATTTGTGCACTCCTGTGACATTGCATCGCTTCCACAGTATGTTCTGCGCTGGCTTTCAACTCACAAAGACCATGGCTCAAGCTGCGTCTTTGCAGACCTGGAAGATCGCTTGCCCCAAGATGCCAGAGCTACTCTGGAGTCCTTGCAGCCAGAAGAAGACAGCGCAAAGGAGGAGAAATCTGCAGCTTATCAAGCGATGTGGCAGTACCTGATGGAGAACAGGAAGGCCTGCTTCCACGAATATGCTACCTGTTGGTGTTGCGTTCACAACCGAGAGTGTAGAGTGATTGGGGATCCAGTGCCGAGTGATTTCGACAGTCAGGATTCCTTAGGTTCGCCTGGGCCTGGTGGAGGTATGGTCCCACCACAGCCAGGCAAGAAGCCCGTGCATATCCACTTCGCTGGCACAGTTTGCAAAGGTTGGAGCCAGGCTGGGAGTGGGGGGAAATTCAGCCATGAAAGCGAGCGCCCTCACGCAATTTGGTTGGCTGAGCGAATGGCCAGATGTGAGCAAGGAAGAGAGGATGTCTTCTTTCAAGAGTGCACTCCACAGTACCCTGCTCAGACTAGATTGAGGAGCATGCTGGCAGAGACTCACCAGCTCTTGGTGGTCAGGACTGGGCCTGAACTGCAAGGGTGGCCGATTACCAGGCCACGTGTCTTCACGGCTGGGATCGACAAACGAAAGTGGGAATGGGTTGGTCCACCTACAGACCTTGGAGTGCAGCAAGAGTTTGACATGATGTTTGGCAGGAGCACAGAGTTGACTGGAGATGTCTTCTTTCAGGCAGGCGATGTTTTGGTGAGATCTGATATTTTCTCACGCCTGAAGAAGAGAGGGGGGGTAGCAGATGTTGGCCAAAGTCTCGAATTGGGCCATGAACTGCTTCATGCCATGCTTCCACCTGGTGCGTCCCAGCGTCTGACCCAATATGAAAAAATGCGAGCTGAGAAGATGTCCATTGAGGATGGCAGTTTCTTGTGTGACGTCAACCAATGGCCAGAAACTGGATGTTCCACCGCCGGAGCATTCTTTCCATGCCAGCTCACCCATGCAACAGTGGTCTCATTGAACAAGATGAGGCCGGCGATTGGTTTGGAATATTTGGCTGCCCAAGGGTTCCGCGTGTTCAGCCAGGCAAATGCACCACACCGTGCAACTGCGCTTGAAGCTTTCAAGGAGCTTACCACTGAGAAGCTGGTGCAGCTCTCTGGGAACAGCATGGCACTGCCAGCTTTCGCAGCTTGGATCGTGTATGTTTTGGCCAACATACAGCCAAAACAAAAGGAAATGCCCATTGTCCCTGAAAAGAGCATGATGCAGAAAGGCCTGAGTGAAGAGTTCCAGTCACCGTCAAAGTAAGTAGAGCCAGCAAGTGGACCAATGGAACTTTGTAGCGGCGCCGTGGCAAATGACAGGTTGATGCACTTGGGCCTAGTTCGGTTTTGGTGGTTTCATGTCATGTTTTTGTTTAGGTTTGCAGGGCAAACAGAGACTCACATGATACACGGCATGTGCAAGAATGATACTGAGAGTGTGTGCTTGTGCTAATACAAGGCTAGAGGCAGGCAACGTGGTAGAACAGGTGATGTTTTTCCTTTCAAGTCAGACTTGTTTTTCTGCCTCGCATGAGCTGTGCTGTGTTTTGTTTGCTGTGGGCTGTGGGTGGAACTTTGACCGTTGCCCGCACGACAATTCTGAAGAGAGATGTAATTTTTTCACACTTAGCAGTTTGTCTCAAGCACTAGCACAGTTTTTGACTTAAACAGTCAGCTGCGCTTGGCCCTTGCCACCTGTGAGTGTGGCTTGTTTCGACACCATGGACCAGGAGGATTTGACAGCGATGCCAAAACGGGCGAAAGGCAAAGCAAAGGCCAAAGCAAAAAGTGGTGCAGGTGCTGGAGGGAGTCGGCCAGGGAAGGGCCCGTGCTTGTGCTGTCAGGATCCCAGGCATAGCAATACCAGGTTTTGCAAATTGCACAAGCGAGCCTATGATTCCATGGCCTATCAAGCTAGGAAGGCAGAGGAGTCTGGAGAAGTTGGAGCCGTCCAGGCCTTCCAAGCAGTGATGGGTGATGATGTCACAGCGAAGAGTGAAATTTGTAAGTTCTGTGAACTCAACCCACCTGACAGCCGCTATGCCAGAAAAAGTTTCATTGACTGGACCTGCTTCACAAAGATGTACGGCCACCGAACCGAGATCATAGACCGCTCCAAGTGCAAACCCATGTGGGAAGGTGAGTTTTTGCTATGGGCCCAGAACGAAAAGGCATTGACAAAGGCTGAAGCAGAATCATGGTGGCAAGAATACTTGAATGACCCACGGGTTGAACGGGACAATGATGGTTACAAGGGCCGCTTGCAGTTGTGGGTTCCGTGTGGGGTGAGCAAACTCACTGACAAGAGCAAATACACTGACAGTGTGGCTCAGCAGGGATGCAAAACTTTGAAAAATCCCAAGGCTGAGGACATAGAAATGCTTCAGACGCATGTGAAAAGACAAAGGCAGTCTGTGGTGGACCCCTTCTTCACCAACTCTCAGTCTCACACCGCTTCCCACAGCCAGGGTTCAGCGCGAACACAGCCAACAACAACATCGGAAGCAAACGCAGGGGAAGAAAACAGTGACCTCAACAAAAGAAGAAAGACGATTGATGTAGACAGAGAGGCGCCAAAGCTGATGAAGAGCATGCAGAAGGAGCTTAGCACACTCAAAAAGGATGCTACCAGCGCAGCAAGCAAGGCCAAGGCTGCCTTGACAAGCCTGGAAAAAGCTGATGCACCACTTTTGTACAATGACTTGGCCTTGGCAGGGTTGGTGCGCTCGCTGGACTTGAGGCTTCACTTTCTTGCCCGCTGGACTGATGAAAAGGCGCACACTGAAGAGTCTCAGTCAAATGCGATTCAGGTGAAGCGGCGGCTTCTTGGCATGCCTTCAGACCAGAACCAGGTCGCTGAGCGGCTGTTGAGTGACGCAGAGACGGACTTTCAAAAGCATTGCAAGCAGACAGCCAATGAGCTTTTGGAGGAAAACAGAACTCGCTTGCCCTGCAAGGCAAGTGATCGGTTCATGTCAGAGCCACAGATGTCTCAAAGGATCGAGGCAACTGCAGGCTTGCGAAGCGCAGAAGACTTTGTAGCTACAAAGGCAGAATGGCAGACTTTGGTTTCCTGTGCTGGATCCCTTTTTTCATCAACGCTGAAAGTCGCGCAGGATGTGAGTGAACATGTGGCCACCAAGCAGCGTGAAGAAAAGAGGCAAGAGATCCGCCGAAAGGCCGCTGAAAAGGCTGAAGCTTTGAAGGTCATTCGGCAGCAGGCCAAGGATGCAGCTGATGAAATCAGAGCCAAGCCCAAGGCTGCAGCATCCAAGGAACCTGTCTTCTCCGTTGATCTTGGGCCTCTTGACCTTGACTCGGTGCCCAAAAGAAGAGCCTTCACTGACAACACAAGGTGGGATAACCCGTGGGTTTTCAAAGAGTGGCCTAAAGGGCAGAGCCTGCTCCAGGATGTGGGCCTGGGGAAGTCTCTGGACACCTTTGCAGCGCAATACAAGAAGCTCGGAGACACAGGGGGGAGGCACCAGTACAGCTTGCAGACTGGTGGTGTCAAGTCCCTAGTGGATTGCGCATTGCAGGAAGCCATGCCTGCCTCGCCATTGGACTTAGAAAAGTATCAGATTGAAGGAGCTTCCAAGTTCATGGGAGCGAGTTGGCTTTACGGCTTTTCTCCTGGCATGGCCTTTGCTGGCTTGCTTCCAAATGGAGCATCGCAGATCAGGTTGCACGTGAAGGGGAAAGTGCCCCTGCTTTTGTTCGATGCTAAGGATCTTGCAAGCAAGATGTTGGATGGTGCTGAAAGCTTTACCAAGGTGCACAACTATGTGACCACAATGACGGAGGGGTCCTTTGCTGAGTGCAAAGGCAAGAATGTGAGAATGTGGGTCCATGAGCTGGGTGAGCAGGAACTCCTGTACATCCCAGCTGGATTCTTCACGGTCGAGCTGGTAGATGCACACGCATCTCAGGTCTATGGCATCAGGAAGAGTTTCTTTCCAGTGCACGCTAGCACTTTGGCAAACTATGAGGCGGTGAAGAAGCAATTCCAAGGCGATGGGCGAAACTCTGGTTTGATGGAGTCCGTGTGCAAAGCGCTCACTGCAGAGCTGGGGTGAGACTGTGAGACCGACCCAGGTCTCTGAGACTTGGGGTCTTAGTCTTGGGGTGGGAACATGGGACACCAATGGCGTGCTCCGTGCTTAGAAGGAAATGGGAAAAAGTAGCTGTAGAGTTGAGGGGTTTTTAACGCAATCCCATGCCCCTTTCAAGATGTCAGGAATCAAGATACAATAAATAAATCAGCTTTGTTTTCCGTGTTTGTGTGTAAGAGGAAAGCGCTAGTGTAGTACAGACTGTGCACACGAGAGTGTCCAGACGCTGTGTATATTTGTCGTGTTTTTCTGCATAGAATGTTCTTCATTTGAAGAATTTCTATCGGCTGTTTGCCAAGCTGAGAGTCCGTTTTCTCAAGTCAGTCAGTGAGTGCACGTCAGCCTTTTTGGCTTCACAGGGAGCTTTGTGGTCGTGAAAGGGATTGGCTGACGCAAGGCCTGGCTTGTAGTTGACGCTCGTTTTGTAGTTTTTACTTGTTTAATGTGGTTTGTGGCCCCTTTTGGTTTTCAATATTTGTGCAGCCCAAACCCAGACAAAGGTTGATGGGCCCAAACCCAACATTTTTAAACGTTCCAATATGTTCCAATAAACGATAAACCGTCCTTGACAAACGGATACCAAACACTAGCCTTTAATAGCAGCGCTGGGTTTCAGAATGCAACAAACAATCAAAGTAAGCAGGAACCTACCGCCTGCTACCCTAGGGAGCAGCGGAGGTGCAACAAGGTCGACTTCTTCCTACCCGTGGGCGGAAGAAGCGGCCAAGGAAAAAGCCTACTTCCTGCGACCCACGGGCGCAGAAGAGGCAGCCCACCTCCTGCCACCTACGGGCGCAGGGGGGGTGTTGACATTGCGAAAATGTTCCATCGCACCATCCTTCAATGCTCATTGCCTCGGTTTTTTTCCGTCGAAATATATAGTGTTGGTTTTTCATTTATATATATAAGTATATATATATATAGATATATTTTTGCATAGCATATATGATTTTCAAGACAAAACACCGGCAGGCCATCCGCTATGCCAGAGGCAAAAGCATCCAACAAACCTCCTCAAGGACATGACGGAGACACAGATAGACAGCCTGATTCACTCAGTGAGTCGGACTCCTATGAGTACACTTACACCAGCCAGCCACCCGCTCAGGAACTTGACAGCAAGTCAACGCAGCAGGAAGTTAGCAAGGCAGCCGAGCAGTCAAGTGGCCAGGAAAGGCTTGAACTGCCTTCGACCAGCGAAGATGGCAAAATGACTACACAGGCAGATGGGGAGAGTCATAGGGGGCGACAATGCCACAATGCTGACAATGAGAAGGCTAAGAGCAGAAGCCGGAGCATTAAGAGGAAGCCTGGAAACAACAGGCTCGCGCTGAGAGCGAATGACAGGGTGACTACGGCTACAGTTTCAAGCTCAAGAGCCTCGTCAGGAGCTGGCAGGCAGACAGAACGTGACAGAGACAGAGGGCATAGAGAAGGTGACAAAAGAAAAGAAGCAAAGCACAGCACTCGCAGTGGCAGCCGCAGCAGGCCTCACCGTTCACATCACCCTGGACGTGAACGTGGGAGGACCAGGAGCTGGTCACCTTTGCGGAGAGCAAAGCCGGCGCAGCCGGCGCAGCCCAGTGACAAAGCAAAGGAAGACAATGAATGGACCCAATGTGAGTTCTGTGGAAAATGGTGTGTTGCAGAGCACGCGCTGCAACAACACCAGGCTAGCAATTTACGCTGCAAGTACCTCAGAAAACAAGTTGACAAGCAGCACCAGCAATGCCTCGGGTGTGGCGCCTGGATCAACAACTCTGAGTGGGCCAAAGTCCAGCATGACAAGATTTGCAAAAGGACATGGGCAGCAAAGGGCAAGGCCCAGGCTTCAGCAAAAGCTGTGACTTCGCCGCCGCCGGCAAAGAATGACCCTCCAAGTTCTCATGGGGGGAACGTTGCTTCGGCTTCAACCCCCCCAACTTCGGAAGCTGGCAAGCCTGGCACAGTGGCAAGCCAAGCAACGGTTGACAAGCCAGGCAGTGTGGCTGACACAGGCAACAGGCCTCCTGCTGGCGACGCTGGTTTGCTCAGCACCGGCGCTGGCAATGTTGGGAGTGACCCTACCGCTCTGTCTAGTTTCTTTTTTGCCCTTGGGAGGCTGATAGAGAAGAGGTAGTGACGTTTCAAGCCTTCCACCGAACTTGTGTCGCCTTTTCTGGAAAAATGGAGCCCCGTAGTGTCAGGCAGAGAATCCAAACCAAACATGAGAGACAGGACGTGACAGGAACAGGCTGCTTAGAAAACGCAACATCATGTATCGCGGTTCGAAGTGCCAACGGTCAGCGTCGTGTGTGTCTGTGTTTTTCCTTTTTTCTGTGTGTGTGTGTAAAAAGAGATGCATTAATATGAATAATTTCTGTGTGGGTGTGACCGACCCTTTTGTTGGGTCTAGGGGCTGAAGGCTTCAGGGTTGTTGCCTTTATTTGTGTTTGTTTTTGTCATTGTCTCTATGGTGATAAGATGTTGATGTTTGATGTGAGTGGTGTAAATAACCGTATCTAATATATATTAGTATCTAATATTATATATTTGACAAAAGCGTGCAGAGGCATGCAGGCTTTTGGCCAATAGGATGTTGGAGGTAAATTTTTCCAGTTTTGGATGTCATGAAGCAAGTCACCTGGTCTGCAAAACAGTTTTAGCGCGCCGCTTGGCTTGCCGCACAAGTTTTTCATTGTGTGCTGACCCATCCTGTCCCACCAAAACCTTTTGGGCTATTAACCTACACGTTGGCTTCCAGTTGGTTGGCGTGCCATTGCCCTGCAAGCCGTAGGAGCGCGCAAGGCCCAAGTCAGTGCCACTAGTGTGGCCACCCATTTTTCCTCGTGCTGAATTGCTCTTAGCTTGCAGCAAGCCTGAGGGCTTTCTGACCAAGCCAAGCGGAAAATTGCCAGATCCCATTTGAGGTGATCTCATGTGGACCGTTCCGTCTGAAGGGGGTAGTGATCACCGATGGTGTTCTCTACCTGTTTTTGGAGTGTGAAGATTTGAAAAGAGGAAATTTGAATGTTGGATGTTCTTGCAGAACGTCTGGCTCAAGAATGTGAAGAGAAGCCTTCTCACGTGGTCCTTGTTGGCCCTTTGTGTGTGTTTGAGTAACGACACCAGTGCCTGCGAAAAGGGTGCTGTGTGCTGTGAGGATTTGCCAGGGTGCTTCCGGAAAGTGCCAAGAACTGTGCGTTCGTGTCTCGCGCTCGATTGTTGGAACTTTGCTTCTTAGGAGGTTTAGTTTGTAGAAGGTCTTTTTGGAACCTGTTTGGGTTTAAGATTTCCGCACCTTAGCGAGGCAGTAGCCAAGAACGCCGTCAGTGGCCGAGAATCGGAACGGAATGTGATTGCTTGGGGCTCCATAAGGTGCGTTGATGCTGATGAGGAGAAGATCCATGAAGGTTGGAATGAAACTCGATTCAGTCAAACAAAAGGGATGTACCATGATGTACAAGAAATATATATATATATATACAAATATATTTATATATATATATTTAGATATACATACATTTATTTGTCTCTTTGTTTTTGCCGGGCTTTCATCTGATTTTTTGCAGTACTCCTTGGTTATAACCAGAATATGAAGCTGGTTGCATGGAGTAGCCTTCTGTTTGTGTATTCCTGCTCAGTTGGAAACTTTTGACGAAGCATCTTGACGTTGATGGATTTGATTGAACTGTTGCATACGTCAATGAGAGATGCCGTGGACGCTGTCAATGTTCAATGTGCGCGTAGGAAGTGCGCAAGTTCAATTTTTTGCACACCCTTCCTAACAATTTTTCATATGTAGGATGTTCCTCGCTCTTGGGTCTCTAGTCGTTCTAGACTATACAGCAAACCGAAAATGCCAAAACCTGCCAACCAAATATTTGGATATCATTCTGCTTTCAATGGTATTTCTTGCCATTCTCAAGGGGGTATGCCGTAATCCAACACCACAAAAGACAATGGAGCTTGTTGCGTGGATTAGCCTTCAGTTTGGGTATTCAGCCTTGCTGCAGACGCAAATTTTTTGTGGCGCATAACCGCGCCGAAAAATCGATCATTGTGAATATATACGGGTGTTTCGTTATTTTTGCTGAGGAACCCTATTTTTACTTTTTGTTTTTTTTCATATTGTAACAGTCATTTTTGGAGTACTTCATCGAATATTTTTCTAGTGGTACCATGTTTTTGAATACAGCAACAACACTTTTGAAGCACTTATAAGTCTGACCAAAGCTAGCTTGTCGAACTTAGGCGGTCACTTGCAACCTGATATGTCGAGCTTACTGGCGCAGCAAGTAGAACATTTTGAGGATACTATTTGGTTAACTCCAGCTAAGTAGCAGAATTAAGTCCGACTAAAATACACATCACATACCTATGTGGGCTATGATGGTTACAAGTACTTGGGTAAGTGACTTATAAGCTGGACAACCAGGCCAACTACTTACAAGCTGCGCCGCACATCCAAGTATCAACGGATGCGATTGATGCAAGTGAAAGAAGTTCCAGCAAGGTTTCGAGTTTTGCCATTCGGATGGCTTGTGTTTGCCCGTCCTACCGAGGGTTATCTTGACAAGGTCAAAGAGGCAAGAGGTCTTCGACTTTTTGTGGTTTTTGAGAGTTCAGATTCGAAGGAGTCAACGGTAATCACGCCTGTCAGGGCCTTGAAGATTGCAGCACCGATCAGGTTTGTCGCAGGCCTTGGGATGTTGCTTGAGATCCCAGGATTGAACCCCGAGTTGAAGCCTGAGAGGTTTGAGAAGTTACCGCTAGACCTTGAGAAGACACAGAAGTTAGTTGATCTTTCTATGCGTGAAGGAGAGCCACCATCGTTTTGGGTTGAGGGGAACAAGACATCAAGATGCCCTCTTTGTTATGGAGGGAAGGAGACTGGACATTCCGTAAATTGTCGGAACAAATACAAGAAGTATCTAGAGCAAGAGCACAAGCGTATCGTACCGTTTGATGAGGATGAACGGACA